GGAGGCGAAAAATTTAAAATGGGTTGGGGGTTTGGATTTCGACCCCCGTTTTCTTTTTGTCCGGAAATTTCCGGGTTCGAAGGGGGGGGGGAAAGTTTCCTTGCTTGGGTGGGAAAAAATACAGGGGGCTTCCAGGGAGATTTTTGATCCATGAAATAGAGAGGAGGGGCGGGTCCTTTTTTGGGGGGGTAGAAAAGGGTTAAAAAGGGGGGAGGGAATTTTTTTGGGATAGCCAGCTTGGGGAAGCCTTTTGGGGCCCCCTTTGGCAAAAGTGGAAGGAAAGGTTTGCCCTCGGGGGTTGGTTCTTGGGGAAAAAATGCCCCTTCCTTTGGGGGGGGGGGGTTAAATGTTTTACCCGTTAAACCTTTAAAAAAAAAGGGGTCCCCCCCCCCCCCCCCCCACCGCTCTGGCCTCCTCTCTGTCGCAAGGGTTTACAAGTGGTGTTCAGTGAGCAGGCAGTAATGGCACCCAGGGAAAGTCAGAGCAGCACGCCAGCAGCAGCAGCAGCACTTGTGCGTTTGCAAGTCGCAATCCTGCACACGAGCAATGCACCACCTCAATCACCACGCTTGTAACCCTTCCCCCGCGGCTCCGGCATGTGGTTTCAACAGGTGTTCAATGCGGAGGCGGTGCCGCCTCAAGGGGAGTGCACGATTCTGTGCCCTAATCATGGCAACAGCCTCACGGACGCCATCTCGGTGGTGAGCCAGTGCCCCCGCATGGTCCGGCTAACGGCGAAGGACAATCTTTGGAAGGATCCGATCTTTGGGTGAGTGCAAGGATACGGTCTTTTGGGTGACGGAAATGATATGACCTTTTTGGTGAGTGCAAGGATACGGTCTGGTGGGTGAGTGCAAAGATCCGATCTTTGGGTGAGGGCAAGGATACGATCTTTTGGGTGAGGGAAATTATACTATCTTTGGGTGAGGGCAAGGTTACGGTCTGTTGGGTGAGTGCAAGGATACGATCTTTGGGTGAGGGAAATGATACGATCTTTGGGTGAGGGCAAGGATACGGTCTGTTGGGTGAGTGCAAGGGTCCGATCTTTGGGTGAGGGCAAGGATACGATCTTTTGGGTGAGGGAAATTATACGATCTTTGGGTGAGGGCAAGGTTACGGTCTGTTGGGTGAGTGCAAGGATACGATCTTTGGGTGAGAGAAATGATACGATCTTTGGGGGAGGGCAAAGATACGGTCTGTTGGGTGAGTGCAAGGATACCATGCTTTGGGTGAGGGCAAGGATACGATCTTTTGGGTGAGGGAAATTATACTATATTTTTGGTGAGGGCAAGGTTGCGGTCTGTTGGGTGAGTGCAAGGGTACGATCTTTGGGTGAGGGAAATGATACGATCTTTGGGTGAGGACAAGGTTACGGTCTGTTGGGTGAGTGCAAGGATCCGATCTTTGGGTGAGGGCAAGGATACGAGTGCCAGGATACGATCTTTTTGGTGAGGGCAAGGATACCATCGTTTGGGTGAGTGCAAGGATACGATCTTTCGGGTGAGTGCCAAAGACACGATCTTTGGGGGAGGGCAAGGATGCGATTATTTTGGTGATCGAAGGATACGTCTGCTGGGTGAGGGCAAGGATACCACGCTTTGGGTGAGTGCACGATCTTAAGTGCAAGGATACGGTCTGTTGGGTCAGTGCAAGGATACGATCTTTGGGTGAATGCTCTGTTGGTTGTACGAGCGGACGGATAGGCCCAACGTCTGGTCTGGTAACTTTTGTTTGTTGTTTTGCTTTGACTGTTCGTTGCTTTTTGCTGAATGTCGGCGATGTTGTTGTTGCTGATGGTGTTGGTAGCACAGTTCTTTGGGCGTGTTTGGGCGATGGGCAAGGGGCATGGAGTCGGGAAGGAAAAATCGCTGATTTATTTCTACGTGCAGCTTGTTCGTTCGCGCTTTTCATCCCGCTACAGTACAAGGCCGACGTTCCCTTCATTGGTCAGCTGGTTAGCGCGGTCGATGCTAACAATAAACACACACACAAATGATGTATTTTCATTGGTCAGCCTGCTAGCACGGTAGTCGACGCTAGCAATAAGCACACACCTGACGTCTTGTCATTGGTCAGCTCGTTAGCGCGGTCGATGCCAACTAAGAAAACACACGCGCTCCAACACGCAGGTGGTGGGTGAGGAATGTGGGGACCGTTCCCATCCAGCGCCGGTCGGACCACGGCAAGAGCACCGACAACACGCAGGCGATGGCCAAGCTCTACGAGGCCCTCCAGGGGGGCGACATGGTCTGCGTCTTCCCCGAGGGGGTTAGCCGCTACCAGAGCGGCCTGGCCCCTCTCCGGCCCGGCGTCGGCCGTATTATCCTCGAGGTATTTTTTTTTATTTTTGCCGGAGGGGGGGGGGAGGCGGGGAGATACTCCTCTCTGGCCGCCCCCCGTACTGAAATAGTTTTGTGAAAAAAAGGGGGCCTGGGGGGCTCCGTGCCATCGTGACGTCTCTGACCAATTTTGTGCATGCTACATACCTGAGGGTTCTACTAATTTTTTGCTTTGTCCGTGGTGTGTGTGGGGTGCTCTTCTCTCGCCTGCCGTACAGTACTGAAATAGTTTTGACCGTTGGCGACGACAGCTAGTGTTGATATTGGGCGTGATGAGGGGCTGTTTTACGCAGTAGTGGGCAGGTTTTTTGGGGTGGGGCGGGGGGGTGGGAGAATGTTTTTCGCGGGGGGTCTGGCAGAGGCGGGGCTGCGGAACTTCGGTTCTGCAAGAACCTCTGAACGCTCGCGTTGCAGGCGGCACCGTGACAATGAATCATGTTCAGGCAATCGTCCCCGCGCTGCTGCTGCTGCTGCCGCCGCCGCCGCCTCCGCTGCTGATTCGGCTGCTGCTACTGCTGATTCGGCTGCCGCTGCTGTTGCTTCGACTGCTGATTCTATTGCTGCCGTTGCTGCTGCTGCTGCTGCTGCAGGTCCTGAAGCGCGAGCATGAGGCCGGGAACGACGACTTCACCGCCCGGGTGGTCACCTGCGCCCTCACCTACCTCCACCGGGAGAAGTTTCGGTCGGACCTGGGGGTGGCCTTCGCCTGCCCGGTCAGCCTAAAGGCATCCGAGTACCCCGGCCTGATAGCGGGCCAGGGGGGGGAGTCTGCGGCCGTCGACAAGATCATGGAGGTTTGTCGTGGGGTTGGTGCTGACGGTGGAGGTTGTGTGGTGGTGGTGCTGCTGCTGCTGTTGCTGCGGGGTGGCGGTGCGCTGTTAGCGTTGACGGTGGTGGCACGCTGTTGCAGGTGGTATTGGACGGCCGCTGCCGGTTGTTGCTGGTGCTGTTGCTGGCCATCGTGCTACGCGTATTTGCAGCGGCAGCGCGGTGGGATCGGCGCCGTTCGGCCGACGATGAAATCCCCCCACTTCCGTGGGCCGGCGAATATCGCGAAGTCCCGGCATTCTAGGGGTGCGAGGTCAATGGTATAAATAACGACACAGGCATGCGTTTGCATGAGTACACCCTTCCCTTTCCGCACCCAAATCACTTCGAGTGCCCTTTGGCCCACGATGAACCAAACCCGTGCGCACGCAAAATCACTCACCTATATTCTCCGTTTCGCTCCGTCCCCTCTGTTCTTCCGACCGATTCCTTTTCCCCTCTCCCTGCAGCAAGTAGCTGACCAGCTCCGACAGGACCTGGTAACCTCTCCCGACTGGGACTCGCTTGTGGCCGGGCACGCGGCGAGGTGTCTCTACGCGCCCCTCGGGACCTGGATTTCCCTGCACCAGACGGTGGCCCTCACACAGCGGTGAGAGCAGCGAGCAGCCTTTGGCATTTTTTTTTTTTCGTTTTATGTGAACGTGTTGGAGAGCGTATGCAGTCTGGGGAAGTGGGGTTAAGGATAAGGGTTGCTAGGGTATGCGTATCCCTTCCCTGTTTTGTTCTCCTCATGAAGTTCATTCCTCGCGAAGACGGTCGGCGGCGGCGGCGGCGGCGGCGGCAGTGGGGACAGGACTGTGTGTCTTCGACGTTCGCCGCCGGTGGTCGTCTCGAGTGTCTGCACACGGTAGAAAACAAGAACACAGAAAACAAGGAGAGGGTAATGGAGCAGCACTGATGGAAGAGAAGTTGGCGCTAGCACACGGTTTTTACCCGGGTATTGGCGGCGGAAGAGAGAGGGGGCTCCGCAATATTTTTTTGTTTTTTGCAGTCCTTTTTTCGGTTGTAGAGGAAGGGCTTGAAGTTGCTGCCGTCGGTGAGCCGAGCGGACCGGGATAAGACGAACAGAAATGTAGTGACACACGGCTACCCGGCTACCCCCCCCCCCCGCCGCCTTTGAAGCCTTGACTATGCTGCTGGTGGGGGGTGTTGCTGTCAGTGGCAAACGAGAAGGAACGGGAGATAAAACCACGGGTGAAACATAGTTCCTACCCGCTCCTCCCGTTTCCAGGTGGGTGAAGGTGCTGTCGGATGTGACAGAGCCGTTTTTTTTTTTTTTTTCATGACTTTCTAGTCATGAGCGTTCACAGCTTTTTGCCAAGCAGGAGCAGGAATGCGAAGGCAAATGATAACTGATTCTTAACCACCTACCCCAAGACAATTCCCACACACACACACCCCACCCTCCTGCGTAAATTTTTGTTCTTGTCCAGGTGGGTGAAGGTGCTGTCGGTAGTGACCGAGCAGGAGCGAGAAGAGAGGAACCTCACTCGGACGGCCTCGGAGCCGGACATACACATGCTCAGAGATCGCGAGGTGTGTTGTGCACGTGGTGCTTTGTTAAGCCGTGTCCCTGACCACAACCATTTCTCCCGACGCCAATTGTTGCACAGGCAGTCCTGGCCTCTTCTTTTTTTCTGGCCTTCTTTTTTTTTTGGCGTGTTTCTGCCTGGTGTTTGTCTTCATGTCGGCACCAGCCGCTTCCCCCTTGCTGCTTTGTCCGCCTACGCCCTTGCGACTTTCGGGACTTGTGTTGGCGAAACCGTCTTTCTGTTTATTTTCTTTTATTGGTGGTGTTCTTTGTGGGATCGATCGGTTTGGCCGTGAAGAACTCGACCCTCTTTTTCTTCTGTACGGTTATTGGTCGACCTTGTGGCGCTACAGAGACAGCGCCTCTTAGCTTTGCGGGCTTCTTGGTTGATTGTTTTGTTCTTGTCAAAGGGGGGCAACCAACCTCCATCCACAGTCGCTACTGACTGCTGCGCCGCGTTTTCGGCCGGGGTTCTCAAAAGGGTGTCAAGAAATGTTCCTGCTCTCAAAACGTGTTTTTTTTCTGTTGTTGTATGCATATTGAGACCCAGTATTTGCCGTCAACGACGAGTCACTAGAAACCGAAGGCAAGCACCGCAGGAGGGATGGTAGGGGGCCTGGGGGAGAGGAACCCTTCTGTGTGACCACGGTTTGGAGTAAACGGCACAACCGCTGACAGCGCTGATTTGAAGTCAAGAAAAAGAGAAAGAAAACAACAAGGAAGACCTTCCCTCATTGACCGGTGACACCCGCCGCTTTGAGACGGTTTCGTGTGTGTGTTGCTGGTTACGTACACGCTTATACGCTCTTCTTGGTCCCCCCTTTTCGGCGAAAAATGGCCCCTTCATGCTCAACGCCGTAGGCTACCGATGCAGAGTGCGCAGAGATTGGGCAGCTGAAGAGGGACCTCCTTGCTTACGACGCGGAGCATAGGGGGCTGGGGCTGTCGGACCGGAGACTACGCAGGCCTCAGGTAGGGGACCGTTACGCGGCTTCAGCGCCACCAATCTGCCACGACGCCAGCGTCTTTTTGTTTTTCCGAGGGTTTTCGTCGTCATCGTGTATGTGTGCGGTGTTTGCGGCTCCGAATACCTCTTGTATTTCCTCCCTTGTTTATGCGGGTGTCTATGTCGTTGGTTTTCTGTCTCCTATGTCGTCAGTTTGTCTGAAATTGCCATAGGGCCGCACACCAATGTCGCGATTAGAGTGAAAAATTATGTCTCCTATGTCGTCAGTTTGTCTGAAAATGCCATAGGGCCACACACTAATGTCGCGATTATCGTGAAAAATGGGCGGAACATTTGCATGGTGTGTTGCTTCTTTAGTCCCCAGAACCATGCCGGCGTTGCTGTCGTTTCTCCATTGTGGCGCTTCGTATATCTAACAGCTACCCTAGAGAGAACGTGGTGTGGCGCACCTCAGTCACAAATCTATGTCTTAGCGCTTGCGATAGTCTGCTGCGTCGCGGTGTCGTGGCCCTCTTCTTTTCCTTCGAACAAATCCCCGTACGTCCACACCACCCCGCGCAGTTGGCCACGCCACTTCTCATGAGAAAATCCCGGTGACTTCAAGGATTACTATCGGGACCTTCTGGTTGTCCTCCTTGCTACGGCAGCAATGTTACGTTATGCGTGTATCCTTGAACCGGTCCCCGCCCAACTTTTCTCTCTTACCGCAAAACCGGGGTGACTGCTGTGCGGGTTTGCCGTCTGGCCCTGTCTGTTTTGCTTCTCCCCTGCGGACGAACCCTTGTTGGTGTTTGATAGCCGTGGTGGCCTTCTCTGGTTGGGGGTGTGGCGGCTCGCGCGGTGTGGGCGTCGGGCCTGCTGCTGCTGGCCACGCCTGGTGTCATCATCCTCTCCCCGCTGTTTGGATTAGGTGAGCAATGCCCGTCTGTTTGTGTGCCTAGTCTGGTGTTACTGTAGATGTTCCGTTGTTGTTGTTGTGGTGGTGGTGGTGGTGGTGGTGGTGTGATGATTTCTATACCGTTCACCATGTTGGGCAATCTACTCCTATGTTCTACAAGTACGTACGCCCATGGCACCCGCATCTACTTGGACAAAGGCCAGAAGAAATAATCGATTGCAGCCAAAATACCGTACCAGCTGTTATTTTTTGTGTGTATGGGTGTGCGGGTGTATGTTCTAAGCAGACCGCGCTAGTCGGGTGAACATTGAAAATGTTTCAGTCTCAGTGAGGCCGATAAACGATAAACAGAAAGCTCTCCTAAAAGCGGGTATATTACCAACGAGCAAAGCGCTTGGTGCTCGTTTTGGCGGAATATGAAGTTCTTCACACCGAAATGTGTATGTGTTGAATGGTTCTCTGTTATTGTTATTGTTGTTGTTGTTGTTGTTGTGGCAGGTAAGAAGCTCGAGATCTGGCTGCGGAACGATTGTGTGGCCAAGGGAAAATTGCGTGACATGGATGAGGTACGACAGCAAATTCTTCTTCTTTTTTGGAGAATAAGAAATATCAAATACATTCACGCTACATAGTTTTTGGGTGTTATATCTTTTTTTTGCCGCAGGCAAAGCGCTCGAGGTCCGACTCTGGATCAAGAGTTTCAGGAAGAAAAAAGTCCGTGACATGGACGAGGTAAGGGTTGTTGTTGTTGTTGTAGGCATCTGTGCTCTGCCGTATACCGATATATTTTTTTTTTGGTCAACGGCGGACCGAAGAGCAGCTGCCCCCCCCCCCCCACGGCAAACCAACCTTGCACGAGAACCACCGATCGATCGTTCAGTCTCGTCTGCGTGCCCCCTCCCCCCCGGGGTGATACTATTGTCCCGGCACGCAACGCAGTCAGCCCAACCCGCGCGTGGAGAAGACCTAGGGTGTTGCATGGTAGGCTACAGAACGCGGCACCACTTGAGGACCTGTTAATATTTTTGCCGACGCTCGTTTCTTACTTTGTCTATGTGGTACAGCACCCCCACGGCGGCTACAATATGAGGGTGTGGTGGAGGCTTCTTACTGAGCACCTGTTGTTCTTATGGCCAAGCTCTTAGATTTTGTTGAGGCTGAATTTCTCCAATGGTGAGATCTTAAGTGGTGGCGCGTTCTGTATCTGTAGAGTGCGCCACCACGAAGACATACCATTGTACTCCTGCTCCCGTTTTCTCCCTTTGTAAACCTCCCCCTGCCGCGGGCGTTCCATTATTTCCACCTCAGGTAGCCCAGTACAAGCTGGCCATGTCTGTCTTCGTTGTTCCCGCTGTAGTCGCGCTCGGGGCCATGGCTCTCACCAAGGGCCCGCTGGGGCTAAGGGCCGGGTTTAGCCTCCTCGTGTCCCCGGCCTGGCTCTGGATGACGGTCCGCTGGCTGGAGGACGGCGTGGCCTGCCTCAACGCCTGCGTGGAGCTGTCGACGCTCCTGACCCGCAGGGGGCAGGTGAGGGAGGGAACATGCCAGAGCTGCCCAGGGCTGTGGCGTTTCAATTTTTTTCCGCCGTACATAGTGAATTGGAAGAATGTGTTGGCGCGGTTCCCTCTACAATGCTCTCCGATCGATCCAAATCAATCTTTAGCGCTGTGTGTGGTGCCAGATCAATCGAGAGGGGTGCGCACTGCCGGGGGGAAACCCGTTGCGTCGTCGCTTTCGCGAAGGAAAAACGCCCTTCTTGATTCCACCGGGCCCTGTTGTCGACACGCTCACGTCCCACGAAAGACAGGGCGCTGCGATAGTTGAATATCCATCTGGTGTTGTTGTTGTCATTGTGGTTGTTACTCCGCTGCTGTCCCCAGTGTTTTTTTTCTTCATTTATAACAATCAATTCATCTCTATCCAAGATGAAGGGTCTAGGATAAGATAGCAATGAAGTCATAGCGAGCGTTAGCGGAGCACTGCCTGTGTTTCGACGATTCCCCAAGCAACACAGTATTTTTCTGTCATCGACCCTGTAATAGGTGGAGAAACTGCGTGACGTGCGCCGGGGGCTGGAAGCGAGGGTCAAGGCGACCGCGCAAGAGCACAGCCTCCCATCCCCGGAGACCCTCAAGGCCGAAGCCCCCGCCCGCTACAAAACCCGCCGCTTCTGGAGGTACTTCAGCCCCAAGCGGAGGAGGAAGATGGAGTGGGGAGAGGTGAGTTCTACTAAACACCGTTATGTTAGTCATCCCATCTGTGTATCGCCTTCCTAGCGGAAAAGGGAGCTGGAGTGGGAACATGGGGAATTTTTTTTTTCCCCTCCACCCGTCCGTGAGGGGCAAGGTTTTGAGGGTTTTACGTTTTTTTTTTTCGGGCCGCAAGGAGGCATGAGCTGCGGGGTGTCATTTTGCTTTTGGGCATCCCGTGGGTTTCAAGGGGGGGGGAGAAAGGGCTGTTTTTTCCCAACCGCCGTGTTAACGCCCACGTTTTTTTTCCTCGTCATTTTTGGGTGGACTAATCCCCCCCCCCCCCGCGCGCGCGTGCGCCGGATGGACCAGGTCGTGCACATGGGGCACGTGGGTTATGACTACCCCATAGCCGTGCAGGAGCAGCAGAACTTGGCCTACGGCAAGGGAGCGTCTCCGGAAGGAAGCGGGAGCGGGGCGACCGACACCACCCCCCCCTCCGTCAAGGACAAGGCGGCATAGGGGGTTTCGTGCATGTACGCGTACGTACGTACGTATGCTGCGTAAGATACCACCCACCCCTCCCCCGTGGACAGGGTTTTTGAAGGGCTGGATTACTCCACGACGAAGAGGATGCTTACTGCCAACATTAGGTGATACGTTTCCGGAAAGCTCTCGACGACGTGACGGTTCGTAGTTTTAGGCACCGTCCCCGTTTGGGGCGGCGGGGTACATATTCGAGCTTCGAAAATGGGCCAAGGGGCTATGGTGTCCTACGCACACCAACGGAAATGTGTAGCGTAAAAGAGGGTTTTCTCTCTCCGGCAAATTTTTCGTTGCAGACGTTTTTCATCGAACCACGGAGTGCAACTGAGTGGCGGAGTGCTTTCCCGGCATTCATCCTCTCTGACCTCCCCAATATTAGGGCACCATCATGTTATTGGAACCGCGCGGTTGCTCAAACGCAACAACCTGTGTATCTAAATCGTAGGTCTTGTGCACCCATGTTGGTGTCACTCACCTCTCCCGCGAAGCCGCTCACTTTACTTAGTAGCTCATCGTTTTTGGAATGACAGTTTCATGTTCAAGGCGTTTCTGTTCGTGTGGATGTGGTCTGGGTAACGAGAGAGAGAGAGAGAGAGAAGCGTGCCCTGCCGATTGTTGGATTTTGATGCTAGTGAAAATTGCGTGGACTTGTGGGATGGGTACGGAATGGTTGGAGGGAGGTGGAGGCGTGTTGTGTGCGTGCGCGGTCGAGGGGATTCGGGTCCATCGTGTTTTTTTTTTTTTTGGGGTGCGTCAGTTGATTGGTACAGACAGATAGACCGCGTTGTTTTGCGTGCCGTATGCTTGATGGTTGAGACCACAGGAGCCCAGAACAATTGGCAAGCACGCATTGCAATTTTGATTCGTGTGTTTGAGTTCGTTTCATCGGAGTGCTGTGTTTTTGTGACGTCTATGCAGGGGGGTAGCCAGTCAACACCGTTCGGTGGATGATTGACGCGTGGCTTGGGAGAGAGAGCGGTGAAAGCACGTGGGTGCGTCTTAATTAACATTAGCATCGACTGCCCTAGCCGGATGGCCCATGAAAACACGTCAGTCTTTAGTAGGAAAATGCGTACCAGAATGTGTGTTTTGAATGCCTATTGTTAGCTACAGCAGGAGCTACAGCAGGACCTCGACCCCCTGCGGTGCTTGCCACAATTTTCTTTGAAGACGTTTTGACGGTGCGGGATGTAAATACCGTGTTTCAGACCAAGATACCGCTTGCGCTTGCGAATATTTTGCGGGAAGATTTGAAGAAGGAAGTGTTAAGGGAAAATGACGAGGGAACGTCGGCCTGAATGTTTGTCGTTGTTGCTGCCGCTCGCTGCGGGGATCGGCAGAAAGGAAGTGCAATGTTCATCTGCACTTGATGCCGGGAATCTGTGTCCGTCATGTGCTCATTGCATTACTTTGAACGGTTGTGGCGGCGTCACACTTGCTTAGAGCTGGCTGTTTGTTGGAACGTGCGTTAGGCTTCACCATCAGAGATATGGACCAAAATAACTCTCATGCCTAGGAAAGGAGATTCCACACACTTGGGGATGGACCGTTCTTCTCGACCACGGGTAGGTAGGCGGGGGAGCACAGGTGCCCCGGGGAAGCAAGAATTGGTCAAGAAGTTACGAGTACTTTCGGGAAGGCCAGGCGGCACAGACACGCCGTACAAAACTACAACCAAACGCCATCGTGCTCGCGAACTTTGACAAATTGAAGAAGCTGTGTGTACTGTGGCGCCTCACCCAGAAACAGCAAGTGCTAATTGTCGCCCTCTTGGGCAATTCCAAAGGAGGCCATTGCATAATCTGATCCTACGCGCGATTTTCTGTTGATGTTGCAAAGCCAAAGACTGCGCTTTGCATCATCGGTCAGCAATTAATTTCCGAACTGTTGTATCTACAGTACATAATTTTTTTTTCAGTGAATCTCTTTCGATATCTACACGCCTACCTATCCGCACACCTATAGACTAATGTTTCTGTTTCACAACAATAGAACACCAATACCAATTGCCAAGCTGTTTGTCCGGTCTACAGCACGTCAGTCTACACGACAGCTCCAGCCTTTCTGTCGCTTTTCGTCTGACGGTTTCAGGGTTTCAAACAAGGAGGCGGTAGCATCGGATAGCATCGGATATCAAACAGAAAACGGCGGAGAGCCAAAAAACGCGGCGGGACCAAAAAAGACATGCAGCAACCAGCTCTGAGGAGGTTGGCACATCAGACATCAGATACACACCTGAAGGTTTCACGACTGATCCTGTGTGGACAAGATGTTTTTCGAGATCGCGATGGAGCGCCTTCTTTCTGCGGTGATCGCATCAATCATGATGCCATACTGGGGGTGGGATGGATGCAACTTCGTTGCCTTCGCCCTCCTTGTTACCGCTATTTTGGCTGGGAGCATCTTCTTCAGCCTGATGATCTGGTGAGCAATAGGTTCACGCTACATATGTACCTAGCAGAGGCCGGGGAGCAAGCGGGCGTGAAGGGCGCGGATCAGAAGAGTTGATGGGGGTACTTGCCCAGCTACTTGTAGGCTGGGCGCCGTTCGCCACCTTGTCTATGGAGTGCGTGCTACTGCTGTGCAGTGTCAAAGTTGCTGCTGAGATCCAACATCCACCCGTCAGACGGAGAGGGTACGCCAATCGCGCTGTCGAAGGCCGTGTGGACAGGGGGAGCACCCATTTCACTTACTGAGGAAGACCGATCCACGCAAACATGGTACATAGACAGGACAGCATGGCGTTGTCTAGACTGAGAGAATAGACCCCGGATCAGCTAGTCTACTGGATCATGGATGCCTCTTTAGGATTTTAGTCTAACCGTATGAAACAAACGCCCTCCTCCAGGAGGTTGTCACCGTAGACTCCAGTACTACTGTATGTATCTACAGGATCTGGGGCTCTGAGATACTCATGATCAACAGTACTTGCAGGCAGATTTCTTGCTATAGCGGTCACTACTACTGCTGTACTTTGCCTGCGACACCCACGCACATTGCTGGCAGGGGGCTGGTGACCAAGATGATCCAGCAGGGCGTTTCGAGCCTGCGGAGGAGATTGCGATCCGGTGCCCGCCCGGACGGAGGAGTAGTAGCAGAACCTGGCGATACCACGGTGAGCTGGGTATATCTATAAACCTGAACTCATTCATCTCCGACCATGTAGTACGCCGGCCGCACCGTGGCCGACGTATCTGGCTTGTTCAGGTGTACAGTTTTAGTCTGGTATGTCGGAAAATGAGCTTGAAGTATTTCGAAAAGTGTGTTTTCGTTCACCAGAACTGACTGTTTGGGACAAGAGCCGCCCATCTCAGAGCCTCGACTGGTACTACTGCTGTACAGTAGTACTGTAGCAGTATGTGCGGTCCAGGCTGCCGCTACACCCCTCATTGTTTTGTGTGCCGAAACCTAATCCCGCATACCAGCGCTGCATAGGTACTGTAGAATCGGAGATATATTTGCCCAGATCGGAGTTTACCCGCACTGAAGCCGAGACTCTGTATCAACAAGCGCAACGTATTCGTGGCATTCTTGACGCACGTATGCAGGCTGAGCACGCGCGGGAACAGCAAAGGCCAGAGCGGCAAGGGCCGTCCCACGGGCGGGCGCACCTTGCCGGACGTGCGACTTTGAGGGTTCGGGACCGGCAGCGGGCGCAGCCGCAGCCACAACAACAGCAACGGCGCCATGTACCGCAGGAGCCACGGGAGGCTCAGCAGGGGCAACAGCAGCAGTTGCGGCAGGAGATGCAGGAGCCGATGGACAAGGTGCGCAACCGCGTGCACAATACGGCGGAACTCCCGCGCCTGCGCGATCAGGTGCGGTTGCCGGAGCACCTGGCGATGTCGCGGCAGCGGTTAGATCAGGAGCGGTGGTTGGAGCGGAGCCGCTATTTAACCGCCCAGATGAAGCTTCTGGACCGGGATAAAAAGGCGAAGCATGAGCATGAGTGGTTGGAGCGGAACCCCAATCGGTACGCCCAGGCGCTGCATCAGAACTGGGAGAAGAAGGTGAAGCAGGAGCAGCAGACACGGGAGCGGAAGAAGCTGCAGCAGCAGGAGCGGGAGCGAGAGGCTCAGCAGGGGCAAAAGCAGTTGCGGCAGGAGAAACAGGAGACGATGAACAAGGCGTGCAACCGGGTGCACAATAAGGTGGAACTGCCCTGCCTGCGGGATCAGGTGCGGTTGCCAGAGTACCTGGCGAAGTCGCGGAAGCGGTCGGACCAGGAGCGGTTGGAGCGGATCCGCATTGGGGTCGCCCAGGCGTGTCAGCAGGACCGGGAGAAGAATGCGAAGCTGGAGCAGCAGAAACGGGAGCGGAAGAAGCTGCAGCAGCAGGAGCGGGAGCTACAGGAGAACCAGCAGCGGCGACGGCAGCAGGAGGCGGACGAGCAGGCGAAAACGCAACAGCAGGATTTGGATCTGCTGTTGGAGCAGGGCTACCAGCACCTGCTGCAGCGGGAGCGGGAGCAGGAGCAGCAACAGCAGCAACAGCGAGAGAAGAAGAAGCTGGAGAGGCAGCAGCAGGAGCGGGAGTGGGAGAGGAAGAAGATGGCGCGGCAGCAGGAGCTGGAGCAGCTGAAGCTGCGGCAGCAAGAACAGGAGCGGAAGAGGAAGAAGAAGGTGGAGCAGGAGCGGGAAGCATACTTTAGCGGGCTTTGGCAGCGGGAGCAGGAGCGGGAGCAGGAGTGGGAGCAGAAGCGGGAGCAGGAGCGGGAACGGCGAGCCCAAAAGAAAATGCAGCAGGAGCGCGAGTGGGAGAGGAAGAAGATGGCGCGGCAGCAGGAGCTGGAGCAGCTGAAGCTGCGGCAGCAAGAACAGGAGCGGAAGAGGAAGAAGAAGGTGGAGCAGGAGCGGGAAGCATACTTTAGCGGGCTTTGGCAGCGGGAGCAGGAGCGGGAGCAGGAGTGGGAGCAGAAGCGGGAGCAGGAGCGGGAACGGCGAGCCCAAAAGAAAATGCAGCAGGAGCGCGAGTGGGAGAGGAAGAAGATGGCGCGGCAGCAGGAGCTGGAGCAGGAGCAGCTGAAGCTGCGGCAGCAAGAACAGGAGCGGGAGAGGAAGAAGAAGGTGGAGCAGGAGCGGGAAGCATACTTTAGCGGGCTTTGGCAGCGGGAGCAGGAGCGGGAGCAGGAGTGGGAGCAGAAGCGGGAGCAGGAGCGGGAACGGCGAGCCCAAAAGAAAATGCAGCAGGAGCGGGAGTGGGAGAAGAAGAAGATGGCGCGGCAGCAGGAGCAGGAGCAGCTGAAGCTGCGGCAACAAGAACAGGAGCGGGAGAGGAAGAAGAAGGTGGAGCAGGAGCGGGAAGCATACTTTGGCAGGCTCTGGCAGCGGGAGCAGGAGCGGGAGCAGCAGCGGGACCGGCGAGCCCAAAAGAAAATGCAGCAGGAGCGGCAACAGAGGGCGGATGACCACGCGAAATCTCACGAGAGGTTGCAACACAGGCAACAGACGTCACAGCAGCAGCAGCAGCAGCAGCAGCAGCAGCAGCAAAAGCAGCAGCGGGAGCAGCAGCTTCAGCAGCAGCTTCAGCAGCAGCAGCTTCAGGAGCAGCAGCAGCTTCAGCAGCAGCAGCTTCAGGAGCAGCAGCAAAAGCAGCAGCAGCAGCAGCAGCAGCGGCAAGGTCTAGCACGTCTCGGTGATTCTCATGCCGTGAAGAATGCGTCGGAGACACCGCCCCCGTACCCAGGCCGTGACGCCGGCGCTACTTCGGGAACGCCCACCGAGCCCCGAAGGGGCACGACCTCGGTGCTGACCACGACGGTTAAGCGGGCCCTTCGCATGGCGGGCACGGAGGCCGAAGCGCGCCGCATCACCTTGTCGGCAGTGCTCCGCAACGACAAAGACGTTCCGGGGTCCTCAACAGGGTTGCCGCAGCAGCAGATTCGCGAGAGGGTGGAGCACACGCTCGACTTCTTGTGCTCCCCTGAAGCGAGCGGCCTCGGACGCAAGAGGCGGATGGGCTCCGGCAGGAAGGTAATCAAGACAATCTTCTGGGCGCACGTTGGGGCCATCGCCCGGCAAAGGAGACTGGCCAAGGCGGACGCGCTTCCTGGAAGTGCAGAGAAGCGGCAGGGGCGCAACACCGGTGGTGTCCTACCCGCTCCTCGCGACTCCTCGCCACGGGGGCAGGAACAGCGGGAGGCGCTAGGGCAGCACGAGCGACAACAACGAGGGATTCCACAGGTGAGGATGACTGATGACTCGTGTGAGTGCAGACTAGGCTATTGCGTACGAAATCGTTGGCGTGACCAGCCTTTAGCCGACCTTGCCGGTTATCATCCGCCCGTCTCCGTTCGGGGACATGTTTGACCGGCCCTCATTCACCCGAGGCATGCATACGACGATGGACTCGATGGGAAAACAACTGGCTCTTGACGATGTGTCCCACCCGCTTTTTTGCACGTTGGGGCATTGCAAACGACCTCCCGTCTCTTCGGTACCTCAGACGACCATCGAGGCGAGGCCGCTGCCTGGTCTCACGCGGGATTTCCGGACGATCCAGGTGGAGCACCCACCTAAGAGTTCGTCAGCAGGGTTCTCCCTTGGAAGGGAGGCGACGAGGTGAGTTCCGCAACAACTCTCCATGCCAACCAGCTGCACACAACCTTTGGGAGCCGTCGTTCATCTTGCGATGCAGGTTCTGCTGAGTGAAGTAAACAAATTTGACACCACCTTTGGACTGTGGGACATGAGAAACTTGCTGTGACGCGGTCTACAGAAGGTGTCCGTGACGATGCTGGCCGCGAGGGATTTCTCAACCTCACAGCTGGACTTTCCCCGGGGGTAACCGTTTCGCCTCCAACTAAACAGGCAAGAGATGGAATCGTCGTTCCTCACGACGACCCACGGCGGCAAGACCGTCAATGCGCTCCCATTCCTGCCGATTCCGCCGGTTGGTCCATTGGCAGGACGACGGGGAGGGGCATTCGGAGCATTGGTAAGAATATGGATGATGGGGTCGTTGCTGTGTTTGTTTGTCATGCGCATTGAGCCTTTCGCCAGGCTCCTTGTCCATGGTATTTCGCTCGTTGGGAAGTTCTAACGTTTTCGTCGCACACACGCCCTTCGGCCCCTTCGGCCCCTTCGGCACCTCAGACGACCGTCGAGGCGAGGCCGCTGCCTGGCCTGACGCGGGGTGACCCGTTGAAGGTGGAGCACCCGCCTAAGGGTTCGTCGGGCGGGTTCTCGGTGGGAAGGGAGGCGACGAGGTGAGTTCCGAACCAGCCCTCCATGCCAATCAGCTGCACACAACCTTGGGAGCTGTCTTTCATCTTTCGATGCGGGTGCTGCTGAGTGAGGTAGACAAATTTGACATTGTGGGACATGCGAACTTGCTTTGATGCGGTCTACAGAAGGTGGCCGTGAGGATGCTGGCCGGGAGGGATTTCTCAACCTCACAGCTGTACGTTCCCCGGGGGTAACCGTTGTGCTTCCAACTAAACAGGCAAGAGGCGCAATCGTTCCTCAAGACAAACTCCGGCGGCAAAACGGTGGATGCGCTCCCTTTCCTGCGGATTCCGCCGGTGAGAACATTGGCAGGACGAAGGGCAGGGGCTTCGGGAGCATTGGTAAGAAAAAGGGTGATGGGAATATTGATGTTGTTGTTTGTCTTATATATTGAGCCTTTCGCAAGGCCCTGACCGATGGTCACAAACAAGGTACAGAAATCACTAGCCCGTCGACAACGTATTGGTAGATATATCACACGCAGAGGAGGTAAATGCATCACAAAGAAGAGAGGAAGGCTTCCTCGTTGTCCATCGCGTGTGAGTCGAATCGCGAGTGCACACAACGGTCTTGCATGTCCGCTTTGCGCTTCCTAGAATCTGTTGTAATAGTATTCAATTTCTGCCATTCCGCGACGGTTTAGTACCCTTGCATGTCTCCAGGACAACGCGTAGCACTGTTTGCATACCACACATCGCCAAATACTCCTTCCTACAAGCTAATACCGATCGCAGAATGAGAGACAATCCTAAGCAATCTAACCTCTCAACAGCACGAACAATATGCCCCCGTCCCCCTATTTCATGACGTCCCGCGTCCCATAGCTCCATGTGTTGTTGTTGCCCACAAACACCTAACGACGGCTGCATCCGACCGCGTCCTACCCGGACCCTCCGCAGCAGGAGAAGCCAGCGACTCCTACCGTAGCCATCCCGGCTGCGTCCGTTACCGCCGCCGCCGCCGCTGCCGTTCCCGTGCCCACCGGAACGGAAGAGAACCCAATCCACGGAACGGATTCTGCACCCGTTACCGCCGCCGCCGCCGCTGCCGTTCGCGTGCCCACCGGAACGGAAGAGAACCCGATCCACGGAACGGATTCTGCACCCGTTACCGCCGCCGCCGCCGCTGCCGTTCCCGTGCCCACCGGAACGGAAGAGAACCCGACCCACGGAACGGTTTCTGCGTACGTTACCGCTGCCGCCGCTGCTGCCGTGTCCGTGACGACCGGAGCGAAGGAGGACCCGACCCACGGAACGGTTTCTGCGCCGGTTGCCGCGGCTGCCTCTGCCGTTCCTGTGACGACCACCGGAATCGAAGCGGTATCACAAGACGGGGCGGAATTTTCTAGTGCCAACCAGACGTTCGTGGCATGCACGGTGATGTCGATCCCCGATTTACCGGTGAGACGGCCGGCGGAGGCGCTGGGGGGCGCATCTTGGTGTCGTTCCGCGTGGTTTCTGTAGTGTTGGAACCCAGCTTTGTGTACTATCATAAGCCGACCCTTTCGCGAAAACCATGTTTGTCTTGGTTGAGAACCATATTAGTGCTTTGTTGCACACACACAAGCGTTCCGGCTGCCCATGTCAGGTCACTTGGAGGAGAATTTTTGCCGCCACCCGCCGCTACGTAGCTGATACCCCCCAGTAGAAATTTACGCCTACACGACCTCACAAAGACGTCCGTTCCCGCGCCCCCGGCTCTGCTATCGTGATTACGTATTCCACCGCCAACACTCCTTCTCGCGACGTGGGCTCCCGCTCCCGCCAGGAGTACGAGGAGCAGCGAGCCGCACAGGAAGCTCAGATCCGCCGCAACCGACCGGCCACCAAGACCGACCCCCCCGCGCCTGACACCACCGTTGGCAACACACCCAGCGCATCGACCGCAGCGCCCGTTACGCCCAAGACAGAGCAGCCGTTCGAACGGGTGAAGCAAGGGAAATGGAGGGTCCTCACAGCAGACTACTTGAGCACGGACAGCGAAGATGGTTCGGGGGAGGAAGACGGGTGGGGGTGATTGTTGATCTCTGGCGGCCGATCACGCCACCACAAGTCGCTGCTTCTGCGCGATCGAAAAACTGTTTCCCTGGCAGCGTTGTCATCCTGCGATGTCCGACTGTTACACTTTTTCTGGTCTTTACAACGTTTTTTCTTCTCTTTGGGGCGATTCGCGCGTTTTGACACGCAAGCATGTGCGGATACTCTATACTGTCGTTATCAACACCACGGATGGAGGCGTACCTGCGTGGGCTGATGTTTTCTAACCTCGTGGATACCCTACTGTAGGCCTTCGTAACCTAAGTATTCAACGGCACCCCTTCCGGGTGGAGGGATATTGTGGCGCGTTTTGACACCATGCGGTCATGCAAGCAGGTAGGGTGCTCTCCATTGTTGTTCTCAACACCGAGGATGGAGGTGTACCTGGATGGGCTGATTTTTTACCTTGTGGACACCCTACTGTAGTTCTTCGTAACCTAAATATTCAACGGCGCCCCTTCCGGATGGAGGGATATTGCTGTCGTCGAAGAAGTCGGTATTCCTGTGAGAGGCATGGCGTGTCCACGGGAATGAGATCGATCGCTGTTTGTGCGATGGTCACGGGCCGCCATTTCAGCCGCAGGAGATGCCACAACACTATCATGTGATTATCCTAACTGCTCCTGTGGACGGCCGTCACGCCGTTGATATTTCGGATGAAGAAGGGATTCGAGACTGTCATCATACGCCCAGGTCAGCAGCGGGATGCCTCGTATGCTCTTCCAAGTGGTTGACTCGAAACGTGAATCGTTCGGACGTTTTATAGTTCGCGCGTGTTCGGGGGATGCCCTGACAATACATGGAGCCCAACGCCCCGGGGACTCCGTAACCTGGGTTATTCCATTTTTTTGTTCTTTAAAGTACACAACAAATCCATATAGCTCCACAGATACGGTGGTGATGTTGTTTCTTTACCATAAACCGTTCCGGTCTCCGCTCGGGGCCTTCAAATATCCGTACAATAATAGGCCAGGACAGAATTTGCTTTGAGTTCAAAAGCGTATGCATTACATCAACAACCAACTTGTGTTTCTACCTTTCCCCGAGCAGCATTCAGCGATATCTCCCCTGTCGAAGGCAGGCTCAACAAAATAATTTGGTGGCCATCATGTGTATCTGACTACAACGTATATGCTGCACTGGGAAGGTGGGAAAGGGAGACATGCCGGGGCTATTATTTTGTTTTCTCTCGCCCTTCTACCAGTGAAATCACCTCCGTGGTGTTGCCTGCAATAATACATGCGTACACGCCCGCCGGGGCGTTCCCAAAAGATGTTACCGAATATCCGCCGCGGGATTTCGGAACCACCCCTCGTATCTCTCACGGTATGCTCGTTACACTATCCCAAGCCCGCCGTCTCGGTTCATGTTGCTGACGCTTCCCCTTCCGCTACTTCGTCATGAACCCACGGAGAAATTGCTACACAGGTTCGTCATGTCCTTCGTAGTGCGTGTACACGTAAACATTGGTCTTGTTCGTGCAAAAAATCGCGGAAAACACTCTGCGTTGTCTCTTGCTCCCTGCGCCATGCGCAAAGCCCTCTGCAGATTCTCCCTCGCTGCACTCTTTGCTCCTGCAAGAATCCCGCTTTTTTACCAGGCTTGGACCACGAGGCCGACAGTTAAAGCGGGAAAACCTTGGCGCCTTGGGTCCAACGGCTTCCCGTGTTGGCGCTCTCCTTGATGAGGCTGTCGATGACGATGCAGTCGCTGTCGATCGTGGCGTCCTCGTTGTTGAGAGGGTCGATGAACGTCTTGGAAAGGTTAAACAAGCCCTGTGGTGTGGGTGGCAACGGAACGAAATCACAACAAATAATCACGTCTTTGACATTCATTGTCAGTGGTTGTTTTCCTGGCTGAGACCACTACAGTAGAGGAGCATCACCAACACCCTGCTGTTCCGTAAAGGCCCTGTTGTTCATTCAGTACACAGTGTGAACGGGGAGTGAGCCAGGTCACAACACTCCTAACAGAAGAAAACTCGGTGACGCGTTCGATCCGTAGGATATAGCAGGATGGCATACTACACCGCATCCAAGTGATATCCGTAGACCGATCATCACGTCGTTTTCGTTTTTTTTTTTCTCATTAAGTCGATTGTGTGCTCAACGCGAAACGAAAGTAATCACGCAGTCCTGGATGCCCAAGGACGCCTGACACCCTGTTACAATGACCGCTTGAACGTTCATAGAGAATGGGGTGTAACTTCCTCCGAGAGATGATGGATTTATTCGAGGTGGGTTGAGTGTTGTTTTCGGTGTCATGGACATGATCAACTCCCATTCTTTCAAGCGAATACAGCGAATTCCGTGCCGATTTCCACCGTGGCAAGCGACCCAAATACGTGGCACCAAGATATCGATATTTGTTGCATGAAACACAGTTAGGTCATGTGTGCAACACACGGAAGGAAACTCGTGTACGTTATCTACACTGGCAGGGGGAAAACACGCAGAGAATGGCCCCAAGAACAACAATAACAGTGAGCCCTGTGTTCCACTCGCCCGGAAGCTGAGTCGCAGTACAAGCACAATCAACGGGAGTTCCGGCACAAATCATCCCGAAGACGCTGCTTCTATTGTGCCCCCATGTTTCGTCTCGCCTGATAGAACGTTGTGAGCACCCCCGTCGCGACGATGGACCAGAAGCCGACCTCAGAAAACAGCGCGAACGGCGTCAGCAGCAAGAACACGTCCACCAGGAGCTGCACAGCGTGCGCGTAGGCGAGCTGCACGAAAAAAAACAGTTCCCATCGTTGAGCGAGTGAGTGCGCGCACAACGACAGCCAGCCGTCCAAAATGGTTATCGTGACACGAAATATTTTGTGTGCAGAGATACAGAACGAGAGAAGGAGAGAGAGAGAGAGAGAGAGAGAGAGAGAGAGAAAGAGAGAGAGAGAGAAAGACAAACAGACAGATAGAGAGAGGATGGAAGGGTGGGGGTACGGGAAGATGCCTTGCCGCAAAGCGGAAAGTATTGTTAATTGTTGTTTTGGAAGGTTTGATGTCTGCCGTTTAGAAATCCCCACGTGGACTTCTCCAACGCATGAAGAGCCCTGAAAATCGCGAAGGCTCCAGGTGGGGATACGTTCAGCACTACCATGTGTTTGTCAACACGCGCTAAGTCGCGTAGTTAGTGAAGAGCGAATACAGAAGAAGGGATCGCATCTTTCGTTCAGCCCATGAGGGGAAAGAATAACAACCAATGCTTCTTGTTCTTGCAGACTTTCTTCAGACCCCATGGCAAAGCCATATACATGATACGCGCGACCTGGTGTGGGAGCACGCGGGCGGGGAGCGACAAAAGCTTCATGCCAGCTATTGGAGTGAGGTCCTGTTAACCGAGCGATGAGAGCAGCATGGGCATGGCCGCACAACACAGGGATGTCCGCTCGGAAAAATAGAATGAATACTTGCGGGACTCTGATTCACGTGACACGCCACCTGCTGGTAACAACATGGTGCAGCCCCCTCGGAAGTATCACCTTTGTTCGGCCGCCGACCATGTCACCGATGCCGCCAGACTTGTCTCGGAGACCCACGAACTGCTCCATCATTCGGCTGGGTCGAGTGAACCAGGGCGTAAGAGATACCGGTGGGGGGCTTGTTAGCCACAGAACAACAAGTTGACACCTTGCAGAAAAAATATACTTCCAACAGGGAGTAAATCACCGTCATTCTTGACTGCGGATAGTGTTGTGCGTGCACATACGCGGGAAAGAATGTATTTCTGTCTCGGAATACTCCCACTCGCGGAACCGCTTTCTTCCAATTTCGATTCCCCGAAAGCTACACAGTGCCACCGTACAATCCGGGTCCACCTCCGCTAGGCAACACACTTTTCTCAGCAAACCGTGAAATCGTTCTCAGTCGTGTACTATGCCAACTCAAACTCTGAAGAGGGTCGCAGCGATGCTACGCAAAGAGACGTGCTCCAGAAGCCTATTTCTCACGTTGTGAGCGACACCGGCTGGAGAAATCGCCCCTCTTCCAACCCGCCAAGGTAAAGCGCCACCATCCACTGGAAAACCGGCATGTGCCTATGAGCCACGGGTCCCGGGAAGTCCTTCAGGAGAGGTATCTCGGCCTTGTTAGTCAAGTTGTTTCAACAGCAGTTGCGCATGTTGAACTCAGTTCCCATTTCTCGCTGCACTTTGGCTTGTGCGGGCACCCGGATGCTACATACAGTAGTCATGAATCCCTCGCGAAACAATGTCGCCTGCTCCATATGTGGGCATGGTATTCGAGAAACTTGCCGCTCTCGTTGTCTCTCATGAAGGAGGATGTTGGTGACGTCAACCCGCTGACCAATAACACTGACTGTTATAGAACCAGGCGTGGGATGAAACCAGCAAATGTTTGCTCGGGACTTGTTTAGCTGGAAAGTAGGTGTTGCCGTGGTAGAATCGGAGAATTGAGGAGAGTAATTGCTGCGAAAGGTATCGGTAGGTAATAATATTTTATGGTTTTAAAGAGCGGTCTGGCAGGTATCATATGTTTGCCCTTTCGGGGACAAAGTTTACGTGAAATTCGAACCTTGCTCGAAAAAAGTACTGCATGGGTCGACCGTTTTTTGACACCAGTGTGGACCACGCAGCCTCTCGGCAAAAATAGTAGGTTACAGTAGTGCTCCAAGTTGCATTCGACAAATTCAATGCGCCATCATCCGTACCTCTCCAATTTGTTGCTACTTGATGTCCTTTAAGCCCTGCCCTGCTTGTTGTGTCGTGTCAACAAGTGTGCCTACCTCGGTGATGAGACCACACAGATGCAAGCGCTCAAGGCCGGGATCCGTGCAGAAGCAGGCGTGTTTCCTTGAACAGCCAGCGTAGTACAAAATGTGCCAGAGCCGTGTGTACCTTGGAGTGAATATTCACGTTCGTTTTAAGGGTAGCTGTTTAAGCAACGTGTCAGTTCCATCGACTTGGCCATGACGTCATTTTCGCTCCTTGCGTCGCGATATTGGCTGTGGAAGCCTCCTGACGCGTTTTGCTGCGACTGCACGTGGCACTTGCCCGACGAGAGGAAAAGCAACAATCCTCCTCTCGATAGCCACCCTCGTTTTGCCGGTGAGGGTTACTTGTACCTGGTACTGGCACCCTGACAGTCGCCAGGTGTATCGGCCAGGCTTGGGTTTTCCACCTCATCATAGTTCGATAACCCGGTCCCATGGTGACTAGGTCGTGTTACACTGCAAACCCTAACCCAAAACATCGCCGATTCTATTCCGAGAGCCTTTCTCTACCTCTGCCTCCGGCCCTGCCCCGCTTTCCCCTCGCCCCCGCACCCGTATTCCCTCTCTCTGCCCGGCCTTTTCTCACCGTTCAAAGTGCGCAAGCCATATCCGGCTGTCCCAAAGGACGCTCTTCCCAGGAAAATCACGCCCGCAGTTGCTGCTGCCGCCGCCGCCGCCGCTGGCATCAGGAATGCTCTCCGTGCCTCTACTACCACAGGTGCATGGCGAAGGTGGGGGGGGGGGGGGCGAGGCTGCTAATGGTGAGGCCTTGGCCCGCCCGCCGCCACTCCCTCCGGCCTCACCCCCACCAACAAACCAAGCGGCATCCCCGCCCCCAATCCCAGCATCATCCCCGCCCCTACCAACGTTTCCACCAGAGTCCGTATCTCGATCCAACCGCACACTCCTGCTTTGTCCCCTTAAAACTCTTTCTCCTCCCCCTCCCGACTCGCCCATAGCAGCGGTGGACGTGCCGGTGGCATCGTCGAAGCAGGCCGGCCGCTCCCTTCGTAGGTGCGTGGTCGTTAGCATGAGGAGGTTGTACAGCTTCCCCTGCACATGCCGTGTTGTCTTGTATACACTGGCGTCAAGAGCGCGAGAGGCGTTACAGACAGGTCAACAGCGCACGTGGCGCTCAGCGTGTGTGGCTTGCTACGAGAGGAGAACCAAAACAACACAATACTGCCGCGCGGTAGAGGGACATCGTGGCTAGCTCGCGGGGTGCTGAGAGTGTGGACGTCAGTTTCTGCCGAGTGTTTGGTGGTTGCTCTTGCGCCATTTCAAATCAACGAAGGTGGCGCATTTTTGGCAGAGCAACCACGTTCCAAATGGGGGTGCCAGGACTCGAGAAGTTGTAGTAGAGTGGTGGATGAAAGAGGGGTGTCGTGCGCAGATGACGCTGCTAATGGTTTCTGTGTTGTTGAGTCAAGTGAAGCTGTTACGGACAGCCTCTTTTGTCAGTTGTCGTCGTCCTATTTGTTTGTCGGTCGCTGTGTCTACCTATTCCCTGCGGCCTTGCCTCGTTGCCAAAACAAATCCGATAAGGGGTTGGCACAGAATACCACCTCTGCGGTATATCATCATGCATGCCTCCTTCAATTGTTGAGGCGAGCAGGGTTCTGCCGTCCCTCCCTTGGGTACGCTCACGAACAAGCGTTTCCCACCACAATGGACAGAACGCGCGGATAAAGCACACCTCACCGGGGTTCGAAGCCCCAATCCAACCGCGCTTGAAAGTCTATCACAACCGAAATCGACACCACAAGAACACGTCCAAAGAAATAAACGCAGCCATCAACATGTCGTGCGCTTGCCCCCTTCCAGAATCGTACGAGCCTCAACACTATCCGGTGGAACGTTCCATCCAACCGTGCTCGTCAACGGCAGCTCCGATGACTGTCCTTGGCAAGCGGTGATCCGCCACCCACTTCGCTACGGCTTTGATCTTAGCAACACAGTTTCATTCTGCACATTTTCCGAGTGACTTGTCCCCGAAACTGTGAGGAAACTCAATAAGTACGGATCGCGTGGTGTGTAACAGGAGACGCGCTCTCACCTGCGCCACATCGCGTACGACTGGCTCACGAAGAAGGTGAGGATGAAGGTTGTCAGGGTCATATGGATCTTCCAAATTCTGCGAGTGTGTGCGTGCGCGAGACACGTCGGGTGCCATAATCCAACGCAAGAGAGAAATAACAAACGAGGACGGGGCCAGCGGCGAGGGAAAACGTAAGCAATAAGCTGAAAATGCTGGAGAACGATAGGTACTACTCAACTCAACGACGCATTCCCAAAGTCGAGAGGAACGATTCACTCCTCCAGACGACAGCACGGGACCTCCATTTTTCTCCTCCCGACCTTTGTTTACTCTTACGTACTAGTTCGGTATGTGCAATGCACATAACCTCCAAGAAACAGAGCACCCAAAGTTGGCGGTGCCTGCCCATGGGTGTGATCTTCACTCCGTCTCGGAAGAAGCAAGAGGTTAACGATCGAATGAAAAGGTACAGATGTGAGTACGTCCCCCCCCGGTCTGGTTTGCTATAGAATGGACGACTACTCCACGTGGAGGAGCGGAAACGGCAGGTGGCGCGTATCTCATAAACATCCCCTCAAGCAAATACTTCCTAATTTTGATGGTGCTGTTTTCTTGACATCCCGCCCCAGGTAGCCCCGTTTTTCGTAGTGGAATGTATCGCTCTCATTCCAAGATATTATCGTAAAGCACGCCCCAAACATACACCCTGACTCTTTTCGATTACCCGTTCCATTTTATCGGGGCGGTAGCTTTGCACTGTTTGTTGTGGTTTGGTATGCCAGCAAAGGAAACCCAGAAACATTCCTTCTGCGGACTCTAGGAAAGGAAAAATGGAAAAGGTAAGGGAGATCAAGGCCATACAGAACGGGCCCGCAAATAAGAAAACAATTATGTTCAGAAAAAAATGCTCAAATGTTTACTAAAAATAAGAAACAAGGGCTAAGAAACACAGCTCAATCTCGGCCACAACATAAGGAACGACTCGATAAGAAACATGACCCTCAAGACAAAACAAGGGGGTAGCTGCGGGAGCGTGTCCAACAAGAAATGTCCCACTGCTGCTGCTGCTACCATGCTCCCACCCCCTACCTATAGCTCATGTCATGTAATTCTTTGGTAGGGGGGGACGACAGTGGTTATTTTCCCGGCGCCCCCGCGCCCCCGCGCCGCCGTGGGCTGCGCTACCCACTGCTGCTGTACTGCCGTACTGCCACAACCCCCAACGTTGGCCATACCGAGCTGTCGATTTAATGCTCATGAAGGGTTGGTGGGTTGTTGTTGTTTTCCTCGCCAGAAACGAGAAAATAATAGATTCAGCAACATGTGACAGCCCCAAGAAATAAGAAATTCGTTTAAAGAAATTGGCCGACTTCGGCTGGTCTTTCTGCCAAAAATAAGAAATTGAGGCTCGACCCGAATATGACGTTTCTTATCTCCGGGCCCGTTCTGAAAGCAATACCTGCGCCCATGAGAACGTTTGAACTACAGCACCTTGACAGTAACTGTTTCTGCGTACTGTATATGGTCACAGAGAGCAACGTCGCTGCGAACGTTACACCAAGGGGGGGAGAGTCCTCTGGCTTTGAATGGTTCACGTCATCAACCTTTAACGGCTATCTGCTCAAGACGCAATGTGGCGGGATCTCGATACATGTGTTGTGTCATCGCGCATGAGGAGGAGAGCCCGCGAAAGATGCCTCTACGTTACGCGGATATTCCCATGTCAAGAAGCTTACATGTCAATCTTGAACAGCTGCTCGGAGAGGCGAGGGCAGGAAAGTTGGAGTCTTTGATACGCCAAGCACACGACCAGCGCAACGCCCATGTTAAGCACGGTCGCTTCCCAGGTGTCTTCCAGCATGGTCCCTTTCCATTTTCTCCAAAGAACCGCGCGGGTGGGAACGAATTGCTCGATGACAGGATCGGGTATCTGGTTCGAAACAAGCCACCGCGGATTTTCATGCACATGATTTTCAGGCGGGGGCGGGGCGGCTGGGGGGTCTTGTTCTGCTACTTGCCGATCATCAACTTCCGTTATGTGGTACTGTAGCTGCTGTGTTCTACAAGGAAAAAGTGCTACTTCGAAGTACGTTGTTGTGCAGTTTCTTTCTGTCGCCCGCTACTACTGCAGTGCTGGTGTTGTGGCGCCTTGGTAAAAAATCTGCAAAAAACACACGTCGACCTGTGGCTGTCCAGGAACGAGTATCACACTCGTGTTGGTCGCTGCGCTACATAGGCTTCATAAGGTACGCGCTGTAAAGGGGGACCTACAGCAGTGTAGGTAATTTGGCTTTTGTAGTTGCTGTAGTTGGCCATAGACCTGCTGTCATTTCGAGAGGACCCACAAATTCCGCGAGGTTTGGGATGTACTACGATACTGCTGAACATAGCATCCAAAGGGAATAATTTTTCGCACCTCAGGTGTTAGGAGACTCTCAGCCTTGACCCGTAGTTCTTCCGCATCTATTGGCTCCCACGACATCGGTCCGGGGAAGCCACCTTTCCCCCGCTTTACGGCGGTCTCCCAAGCACGTTTTTTGTTGAAGGTTCGCCGGCTGAAGTTGGCCCCTCCTCGCAGTCCTGACGAGGGACTTGTCGTAGAACATGGCCCTGGATGGGGTGGTGGTGGCTCACCCATAGGTGTAGCTTGCTGGGTAGTGCAGTTCGAACGATGGTGCTGCTGATGTACAACAAGAAGAGTGCACGAAGTCGACGATGATGCGCTATCCAAGAACATGACCGCACCAACGCACATGGTTTTCGACGGCCGCGCCATTGCTGTACGGTGAAACTGGCGTCGCGCAACCATTTCTCGTATTCATGAAGACTATCACCGAGTTGTATAGTCCCCATGCGTGCCTCTCGCGTCTCGCGCGCAGCAGGGCAGCAACAACATGCGGCACCGGCACTAAGTTTGGCACACAAACGCGGCGCGACTTGCACCGTTCGGCAGTCACGTCTCCCGCCAAAATACAAGCAGGCGTCTGCAGGTCGCGGGACTTTGGTTTTTTCAGCCGCCACGAGATGCGCAAGATTGCTCACCAACCCTTTCAGAGTTTTTTAGTTGCTCTCTCGGCAGGAGCAAACCAACGAAGCACCATCGCCAGCTTCCTAGCAACCGCCAAGACCTGTGCCACGATCAGCACCATGGGTGAGAGCCTTGACCGTGTGAAGCCCGCGCACGTGCTGCTGTTGAGAGCCTCTTTCCAATCGACTCCATGCGTATGATTATCTTGTGTCTGGTCTGTCGGTGTTTTGTTGTCCCTGCCTGGCCTGCGGGGTGTGAGGGCTGTGACTGCCGTATGCATCAGAGGCTGCCCGCTTACCCCCCTCTTACTTAGCCAGTACCGCTTGGCGAAGCCGGTTAAGGTGGCACCCCTTGCCGGTAGTGTGTGTACAAGGCAGGACGGCAGGACCTTGTTGTGGCCCCTGCTGCTTCTCTCTCGGGATTTTGGGGGGGGAAAGCGGAGAGGTGGAGGCGAACCACCGCCACGCTCGGAGGAAAACACAACTTGCTCGGCTTGGGGTAGGAAAGGCCTTGACGGCAAACGCCGTGAAAGTTTCTCGGCTTTGGTGGCCACCGCCCTGTGGTGCCCTGTCGCCCACCACCTGTTATTTGGCGGTCAGCGCAGAGAACGCGCCTGTGGGGCATGTAGGAAGTCTTCCCGATTTCCCGGGGGCGAAGAATAGTCTCGCCGGGCATACAACATGTCACCTGCTGCTGCTGTAGACTAAACATGAACACAACTTTCAAGAGCAGCTCTCTGTCTACCTACCAGAGCCGGCGAAGCGGTTGGCGCTAATAGAAGCAGCAGTGCGGCAACAAGTGCGGCAGTAAGAAGCTTTTCCAGCGTGTCGCACTCGGCAAGCTTCTTTCTATCAAGCGGGTTCCCGTCTGACGTGTGCCGTGCGTTATGTGTAGATGACGCGCCGGTCATGACACGCTGCCGGTCCCCGCAGACCCCAATAGTTGAGGCCAAACTCCCCACGCTGGCTTTATCTTTTTCTACCGTATTCCGCCGGCTTTGTCCCGACCGGTGGTAAATAGATTTGCAGGCCTGCTGCTGCTATCCTAAGTCTGTACTTCACAGGGGCGAAGAACTTGCACCCTCCTCCATAGATATGTAGAGTTCGCGGCCAGTCGCGCCACCAGCATGTGTCAGCCGCGACAAAACTCCCTGCATGCAGCCGAAGCAACCGAGAATCATGTTTGAGCTCGGCCGAGGAACTAGAGGAGGCAGAGCGAATGTGCCGCTCGAGGATGCGCCGCTCAAGGATGTGCCGCCAGGCCAACGCACCATGTCGAAACGAGAGGAGGGGGGTGGGGGCGGTCCGCCCCAGGCGGGGCTCAACGAAAGGGGAGACGCCTCAAGGGCCTCACAAAGAGAAGGTTCAATCGTGCCGCCAGCACGAACACGAGGAGCGCACCCGCAGAGAGGCAAATGCTTCTAGAAGTTGCTGAACGCATGCGTGCACACGCAACACAGGCAGAGTGCTGCGTTGGCTAGCAATATAAAACCCGTCGTTGCTGTCCCGGGTCTCTATAGCCCCCTCCTCTCTGCCTCTACCGTGCTCTCCAAGGGTGTGTGGAAAATGGTGGAATGGTTGAGAAAGTACAGAGCATTATTTAGTTCCGTGAACGCTCCAGTGGAAATTTCTGGATCGTCCACTCAGAAGAAAGAAGGTTGCGAAGAAACAGAAAACGCTGCGTGGTCTTCCTCCCGGGGGCTGAAAAGAACACAAGAAAAGGCGGTAATATTACAATACAACCAAGTGTTGATGAAGTATTTGTTTTACAACAACGTTTGTTTGGCTTCTAGAAAGATGTACCTCTCCTTGGGGTTGTTAGTCTGTGACCACGGAAGGCGTCCACATGTCCACATCCGTTGGACCAGTACGGATAACATTAGAACGTACTGAGCGGAGACGGTTTTTTTTTTTCGTGAAGAAAATACCAGCAGTAACATCGAAACTGACGTCCAGCTTCGGTGTGGACGGCCGCACGCTACATACACATATCGCAAAACGCACGTGAGTGTTTTATGCCCCTGTCGTAGCCTGTCGCTTGTTTTGATTGGTTAGCTGGCAAGCGCTGTCGATGTTGACTCCCAGAAAATAGGACGTACGAAACACCAGGTCGCGCAGTAGAGGAAAGGCGACAAAGAAGGTAGAGCCGGCCGCTTATTGGAGGATGCTGAGGCAAGAATTAACTCCATTCATGAGCGAAGCACCCTTCCAAACAAGGATACAGGATACCTGCTGTACGCGCGAAAGGCTTGCTGGCACCCACCTGCGAAGTGTTGATGATCGTTTGTGGTAAGGGCGCAGAGGGCGATTCGAAACACATGCACGCAGCCGAGGACGGAATTTGCCTTCTCTTGTGCTACACCCGCACGCCTAGTCGTGTGCGATACGTACGTGGCGCTACGGTGCGCCCGGAGGCATGATGGCATCTGATGCGTCCGACAATACCCGTTTCCTGTGGTTGTCTGCTAGACAGGCCTTGCGTGCGGTGGCGGCGTCGCGCCGAGTGTAGACAAAAAAATCCGAAACAACACCCTACTTTGGAAAACTCAACTGCGCTATCTCAACGGCCGCGTGTTTACTGAACCAATATCAATCGACAGTGGTGCCCGGATAGATGAACATCTCGAGTCGAGTCTACCGCGCATCTTGTCGTGTTTCCTTCCATTTTCATCCCCACCCACCCCCCTCCGACAAGTTCGTCGGCCTTGCTTGGAGTGGTTGCTCTTCCCCCCACCGCGCAGCCCACCTCGTGTTCTATACGCCTATCTATGTACTACTTAGTTTCATTATCGCCTGAGGACAGCCTCGTCACCCCCTCCCCCCCCCCCCCCCCCCGCCCCAACCCCATCCCCCCCGGCGCAGACCAACGACCAA